TAAAATAAAAAAAAAAGTTTATAAAGATATTGAATTTAGTAAAAAAAAAAGAATTTAAAAAATAATATAAAAAAAAAATAAAAAAAATCTAAAATAATTGTTAATTATAAAATTATATTATAATTATATTATATAAATTTTATTAAAAAAAAATATTATTAATATTTTATTTATTAAAAAATAATTATATTTCAAAAAAAACGTATTATTTTATTATTTAAAATTTAATTTCAGATATCCCAATTTCAGACAAACTTATAATCGAAATTCAGATTCTATCTGAAGTTTAATTTCAGATGTCTTAATTTCAGACGGCCTTGTGACTGAAATTCGATTCTATCTGAAGTTCAATTTCAGATGTCTCAATTTCAGTAGGCCTCGTGACTGAAATTCAGATTCTATCTGAAGTTCAATTTCAGTTATCCCAATTTCAAACAACCTTGTATCTGAAATTGAAATTTAACTGAAATTGGAATGTTACACAGTAGTTGACCAATAAGATTATGTCTGAAATTGGAATTCAGATAGCAAATTAGGGTATCTGAAATTGGAATTCCAATTTCAGTTAACTGATCTTCGGATCTCAATTTCAGACGCCTAAAAAGTATCTGAATTCCAACTTCAGACGAAAATCAATTTCAGTCACAACATCCGGATAAACGGATAACGGATATCCGAAGTACAATTTTAGTATATTAGTTCTAATTGCTATATATAATACTGAAGTAAATTTGTTAATAAATCATCAACTATGCGAAGAATCTTTATTACAAATAATTTATGTTCAAATATTTATTCCTAACCTTAAATTACAATTTGATTAAATATTCAAACGGATAACGGATCTAAACTCTGAACGAAGGAACCGGATTAATTAAATCCGGATGAAACGAAGAAACCGGATATAATAAATCCGGATAGAACGAAAAAATTCAGTTTTATTCGTATCTAATCCGGATTTAAGAAATATCTCCGATTCAAAATTCTAGCTTTCATTCATTTAATTATTAATATGTTCTGAATCCATTGCATATTCACGTTCTTTATTAACTTTAGTACTTAAAGTAACATCTAAGTTGCGGTAGCGTTTAGATCTGATATAGCACAAGCATTACTATTCTTAAAGTTGGAAAGTGAAATAAAAATTGGATAAGATGCGTCTAAAGAACAGCTTAGAAACTTAAATATTTCGTCTAATATAACCATTCTCTGAAATAAATGTAATAAATCTAAAATACGTTGCTTCAAAAATCCAATCTATTGTTAAGAGTTATATAGTGGATTATGGATTGCCAGTTAACCTTTCTACAAAGAAATATTATACAAAGAAAAGACCCGATTATATAGATGATTACCTTACGGAACCATACCATATTTAATGAAAAAATGAAAAAATAAATACTTAATTAAACAAAAAATAAATAAATGAAAAAAATAACTTACCTAATTCAACTGAATGCGATTGAAAACTAGGTAAATAATAAAATTTGCGACGATTAGCATGATCCTAAATTGGAAAAATAAAATAAAATAAAATAAAATGAAGCAAATCGGCGTTGAAACGTTAGATGAAAAAAATCCTTTTCTATTTATATAATAGATTTTTTTTTTTGAAGCATGTCTTAGAGAACATTCAGATTCTCCTACGTTAAATAAATTAATTAAATGGCGTTAAAACGTCAACACTAGCTTAAACTTTATAATCCTTTATATTTTTATAAAAATTATAAAGCATTCCCCTTTTGTGATGGCGTCATTTTTAGCAAAACAAATTCTCCGCTATTCTTTTTCTATCAAAAATATTAAATCACCCGATTTCGTCATGCGTTGATTGTGAACTTTGATGTTGTACCTCTGTTAATTCAATTTCATTTTAATTATGAAATTTCAAGTGTTGACCATTTATATAATACTTAAATAATTTTTTTTTTAAAAATATTGATCGGCACACTTTATTTGCGCAGCAATTACCGGGTAGTCGGGTTGTCGGGTACTCGGTATATGATAAGCACTTGATGATACATTATCAGTAAAAAAAATTTTCAGTTATAAAATGTCACGTGTTATTTTTGATTTTCAATTTACTGAGTCGGCAAGAACTCGGCTAAAAACTTGCCGTGTCCCGTTACTTATAAAAACACAGCTGTCGTGAACTTCGATAATAGATTCTTGGCCGCCGGGATAGTTTCACCGGAACTTTTAAATTGTGTAATGGGATTATAAAAAAAAGAAATTGATTTTTGAAATGTTAATTTTTTACATTTCGTACAAACCTCGCATAAATCAATGGTTTTGTGTAATTATGTTTATTTCGAAAAACGATTGTGTTACCTTTTTTCAACCTTTATTATATCGATTGAGCTCAAACATAATGATTTTGTCTTTAAAAATTTAGATTCTAATGATTGATAAGCAGAACTTTGAAATGTTTTAAACAAATTATCAAATTTGCAATCCCGCTTTCCGTTATTATTGTGATAACTTTTATGCTCGCCCGTTATAAGAACTAAAATAGCTAATAGTTAATTGGATTAGTTCCAATGTCCCTATTTTAAACGAATATAAATAAATTTTGAAAATAAATGCGTGTCTTTTGTTGTAGATTCTAAATTTTCGCCATTTCTTGTGTCATCTTAACGCTTTCCCCCCAAAAAATAAAACAAAAAAACATGTTATTATGACAATAATGAATAAAATCTTACTATCACATTCCTGAAAAGAATACAAATATATTTTTTTTACGACAATTAAACAATTGACAGGTTCCAAGATTTTTCACAATAAATAAATGAAATTTGATTATTTGAAAGGTCATTTCAATTATTAATTGTAGATTACAAACCGAATAAAGATTCCAATATCGCATTACTTTATTTGGCTAGCCCTTTTGGAGTATTTCATGAATTCTAAAATTAGATAAACATGTATTTATTCTTTTTAGTAAGTTTCTCGAAATTTTTAAAAGCAATTCCATTGTAATAATGATTTCCAAAAATTTTAGCTTTTTTAAGAAATGAAAAAAAAATTGAAAAAAAATGCACAATATAAATAGAGCGATGGAATTCAAAGTTTTCTCCAACAATTCATTGAAATCTTTCAAATACATATATTTGTTTGAAAATATTTCTCAATTTTACACAAAGTAATTTCTATTTCTAATAGTATTTTAAAAAGTATCGACATTAAAATTTCAGTATGTCGCAACCTCGCATTCTCAACAAATCAAATTTGGTTTACATACCACTGTCAGTAACGACCGCTCACACATTAAATTTCATATTTAATTCTCCATTATCAACATGGCAAGAATTTCCTCCGAAATTACCTACTTCAGTATATTCTTCAATATTTTTTACTCCATTATTATTGTTTATATCACTTTCATTTGAACCAATTCAAACAAGAAGACGATTTTATACTTTATTATCGCTCGCTCTTATATATATCTCAATTCCAATAAGTTTTCGCGGCTTGTATTCTCCTAAACTTCAACACGCTTTTGTAGTTCATGGAGCGATGTTTGGACTAAAAATTTTTGTATTCTTAAAATATAATTGGTCATGCTTGAATCAAAAAAGTTCGAATCAAAAGGAAGAATTTAGGTCATTACTCTGGAAAATATTTAATTCTCGCTTTAACTCTTACATAATTCCTCCAAAAAAGGAAAATTCTGACGAAAAAGAAAATTCCTTGCTTATTACATCACCTACAACTTCACAAATTAACAAAATAATAATTTATCGCACCCTAATTGCCTTTACAAAATGTCTTATTCTTGAACTTACGATTTTCATTTCAACTAAATATACAATGGTAATTCCAGAGAAACCATACCAACTTCGTTTAATAGAATTTTTTACAAAAGAAATCCCTGCTTTTACAATTCCTTTAATGTTACAATACCTAAATTTTCTTTTAAGTGTATACTTAATGTTTTCCGTATATTCTTACGATATATACACTATTATTAGTGCAATCTTCTACCGTTTATTCCTTCATTCCTCATCTGAAGATATCCATTATAAACCAATTTTAATTAAATTTGACATTCTCACTCCTTCCGAGTATGTCTCCCTAAAAGAATGGATGATCACATTCCTTTTCAATACAAAACATTTGTTTAGTGAACCATGGATGGCATCAAGTCCTCGTGATTTTTGGTCTACTCGTTGGCAATTAATGATTAATGAAAGTTTCAAAGAATTAGGTTTTTTACCAGTTAAAAATGTACTCGCTCCATTCTTTCCAAAGAAAATCGCAAATATGATGGGCGTGTTAGGTGCATTCGGTGTTAGCGCTATAATGCATGAATATCTTATCATTGGACTATTTGATCTTTGGACAGGTGAACACGCATTTTTCTTTATGATCCACGGTGTCATATTCATCTTGTGGGAAGCTATTTTTGGTCGTGAAAAGAAAAATGAAAATTCAAAAATTAAAAGATTCTTAAAATGGTTCTTATTGTTCATTATCAATTTGTCTGTTTTGCCAGCATTAATTGAACCTTTCAAAAGACGACCTGAAATATTTGAAATTCCTTCATATTTTGCTAAATATTATTAATTAAATTAACAATGATTTCGAGAGATATTAAAATTTATTGTTAGAATTAAATATATTTTTAACCATGGAAATTATCAATATATTAGATAGAAAATATATAAATATTTCATAATTCATTTATCATTTATTAGATATAATTAACTTCCCACCTTTGTCCAGGAAACCAGTTTGAACATTTTTGCAAATTTGTTTTTGGTAATTCTACCAATCGATATAAAATCACTAAATAAAATTAAAAATTTAAAACACATTAATAAATATGTAAAGTAAAAAATGTATTTAAACTTATATTCATCAATACAATCCAATTACATCTTTTGAATCAAATGAAAATGATTATACGGTGGTTGTTGTACGATTGTTGTAATACAAACTCTAGTATTTTGGTAATTAAAAATATATATATATAAAATCAGAATTCATCGATCTGGATTTAAATACAAAAAAAAAAGAATAATAAAAAATAAATCTCAATTTAATAAATTCAGAGAAGAAATCCTCAATTAAACGAAAAAGTGAATGATTATAATTTTCTCACAAACCGTTAACGAGATAAGTTTTAGCATATCCCTGAGCAAAGTCCAATTTTTAATAAAACTTCTTTGCAGTTAACCATTTATCCAATTGTACGATGGTCATTAAATAATAGCAATAAAGTATATTAAAATTTGCAACATGTGATAAAAGGTGTTAGTTAATAATAAATTATGATCCTTCCTAAATAAAATTATTTAGAGCAACTTATTCGCATTTATTTAGAAATTCCGTTGTAAATTCCAAATACACGAATATCTCTAACTATAGTTTCAAGTTTAGCAACAGGATTCATTTTTTTTTAATTTTAGTAACTTTCTTTCTTCTTAAAATCAGTCCATCAAAGGTAAGTCGTGGAGAGGGCTCGATATTTGAAAATGAGAAGCTTAGATTCGAATATTTAAATGTCTGGAAAATTAAGTAAGAACATAAATATTTGATGGACAAAGTCCTGCAACACTTGATTTAAAAATCATCGTCTATATAATTTAGGATCATGGTATTTACTATTTCTCTTATATCACCAAAAAACTAATTAAAAAACTAATTACATTTATTATTAGTTTAATTGCTGACATATAAAGAAATTGTATGTGTTGTCATACACTGCTTGCCTAAACACCTTCGACTTTTTTTATTATGATTGAGAAAACTTATCTTGGATAAGGTACACTCAATTAATTTGATAAACCTTTTTGGATTTGAAACAAAGATTTAATTTATAACTTTAATTACATATTTACCAGATTTTCATTTTACTATTTTATTTTTTATTATGCAGAACTTAAAAAAAGATCGTTTCTTGCAATACTACGTTGGGATACAAGTTATGTCTACAATGAATAAAAGTTAAAAATAAAATAAATACAAATTTTACTTAAGAATGATAAAAGATAAAAGAACAAGTATACAGAAAATTATTTGTTCAAATGGTTTCTAACAATCGAAAATATTTAAAACAGTACATGTACGGAAAATAAATAATTGGCAGAGAATGCGCCATTATAAACATTTAATTTATATTGAGAAATTTTGATTTTTAAAAGGACCTAAATTAGAAACTATTGGGTACAGGAAAATACTTTTTAATTTTTAAAAAAAAGAAAATACCCATTATGCCACTGACAAAATGAATGACTTTATTATGACGTATTTATTATTTGTTTTTACTTAATTTTATCTTTAAATTGTATTCTCAATCAAAAAAAGAATATTAACATATATTTAATAGTGTTTGCACTTGTTATTTAGGTCTTCAAAAATTATTGAACTTTATAAATAAGTACCAAGGCTTGGAAATTTATACATATATAAAAAAAGAATATAAAGTTATAATTAAATTAGACAATTGTTTTACACTTACAACCTTTTTCTTGTTTTCATATAGGCTTTGACGTTTGTGATAATAATTGTTTATTTTCATTTATTTTGTTCCCGAATGACCATCCATAATCCCGAATATTATTTTTATTAAATATTAAAAATATTGTGTATATTTAAAGAGTTCTATCACGAGATTAACTAAGTTTATTTAAACTTCTAAATTTTTTCTTTTAAAAATTTAGCAAAAAATCTATATCTTGACTACTTTTTAAAATATATTTTTGCCGACCATCGATAAAAATGGATAAAATTTCCAAATCATACAATGAATTATCTCATCGAAATAAAGTTTAAAAATCATTAATATAATTTTAATAATGTCGTGCGATACATTATAATTTTAAAATTATGTTATGGCCATTAGGGATGACCCTTCGGGATTTTGATCTTCGGGATTTCGTACCAAACTTCTATGAAATCACTTATGAAATAACTTAATATATAATGTTGTTATCAAGCAAGTATTAATTTTTCCGTCCATTAATAACTTTCCATTTCTATTCTAGGATATATTTCGAAGGAACATGAATATGATATAAATACTCAAAGGTAACGTAATTTCTGTAATGTCTTAATTATTAATACTATATGTGGTTTAATTGAATTAATTTATAATATATGCAATATCTAGTTCGTTTTTCTAATATTTAGTATAAAGTCGCAAGCTACGCTAATTTATCATTAAATGGTAAAAAATTTTATGAAAATACAGTATATGACAATTAGGTTTAACCAATTATTTATTTTATTTCATAAGAATATATTTCTAACTAATTGGAATTTGATATTTCAAGGTATTGTAATTATTAATTTTTTAAAATGGGAGGGTTTCTAGAAATTCTTATATATTTTAATGAATTTATAGGCACCCCTGCAATAAATGTAAATTTCACAACTCCGAATGCTTCAAATACACAGCATCAAAGTGGAACTTGGTTTATTCCATTAAATTCATCTGTTTCATCTGAGAATTCTTCAAGTAAACGTGATATTGAAGAATCAATATAAACTCTCAAGTAAGGTTGATTATTTTTTTATTTAATTACTTTATCGGAAAACGCATTAAATCTGGTGATTTAATTTTAAATTCTCTAATTTTGACTTTATTGAGTGAGACTGAATTATTTAGACATACATAACTTGTATTTTTTGCTTAGTAATTTACAGTTTGATTTTTAACAAAGTTGTCAATTATTACTATTTATTAATATCGCTGACATCAAATGTATGTGTCTTTATTATTAAATATTTTTAAATATTTTTTGTTTTTAAAAAAATGAGTTACTGCATTTCATTCGCATGCCATATGAAAACCAATGTACCTGAATAAAGTGTAATCCTAATTTGAGAATTTAATCAACCAACTGCGATTAATAAATGCCTTTATGAATACTTATAACTTTTGAAAAAAATATATTATCAAATTTATTTTAATAGAATTAAATTTGCCAGTATATGTAACCTAAAAGTATCGAAAAATTTGTGTCCATATAGAAGATAGTTTAGTATTAGTAAATAATTTTTTAACAATTAAAACAATGTTCTTTATCAGAGAATATTAAAATTTTAAATTGAAAGATTAATAATTATTTTACACGAAAAAAATGAAAATAAATAAAACGATCCTTAAAGAGTATCATGACTGTACCAAACGGTAAGTAATCTAAATGGATACATAAAGGTAATTTTGAAGGTAAAATATGAAAATTTACATATAATACAAACCATCTTGAAAAGTTTTCGTATAGGTTATAAAAATATAAATTAGTATATAAATAAATGAAAGTATCGAAATATAAAAAAATAAAAAAAAAAACTATGATCAGCAAATTTTCTTAAATAAAATATTAATCACATCACAATATTTTTTTCAAAAAAAAATTTTATTTTAAAGCGTAATGATGTAATCTTTTAAATTCTGATTGGTTCGGAGAATTGTGGCAATAAATGATATTTTTGATCAACAATTTTTTTTTAAACTCATTCTCCAAATTTATCACTTTATCACTTTTCAAAAGAATTCACAATGTCAGCACAATTTTTTCCTAAATTAAGTCAAAATTATATTGAAATATTAGATGATGATGAATATTACGACATTACAATTGAAGTTGGAGAGGATCCAAATGTGAAAATATTTCGTGCACATAGAAATGTTTTGTGCTATCGTTCTCCATATTTACGACGAAGTTTGTCTTCCAATCGAACGAATAATGACGGTGCCCTAGCTCATATTAAATTACCAAATATTTCTCTGGAAACTTTTCAAATTATTTTGAAGTGTGCTCATGTTTATATTTATTATATTTTCGTCTCTTTTTTTTTTGCTATAACTTGAGAAATTTTTTATGATGTAGGTACATTTATGGTGGGGTCATTTCTTTGAATGAAGAATTTTCAGAGATTTTAAAGGTGTTGTCAGCTGCTGATGAGCTGCTTCTTCAAGAATTAGTTGAATATTTACAAACTTATTTAATTGAAAATAAGTTAAGTTGATTGAACAACATTTTGATCTTACTTATAGGTTAAGCTTTCAATCCAATTCTTTATCGAGACTTCAAGAATTATGTACTGACATTATAACCAAAACACCTGAAAAAGTATTTGAATCACTTGATTTTGTTTCGATTCCTGAAAAGTCTTTAATTTCTCTTATAAAAAGAGATGATTTACAAATGAAAGAAATAGAAGTTTGGGATAATGTAATAAGGTGGAGCCTTGAAAAATCCCACTCTCGTTCCAGATCCTTTAACGTGGTCAGATAATGATTTTAAAATGATGGAACATACTTTACAACGTTGTTTACCTTTGGTCAGATTTTTTAGTATGTTCTCAAAAGATTTCTTTCAAAAGGTTCGTCCATATAAAAAGGTTTTGAATATTCAACTTTATGAGGATTTATTATCATCTTATTTGATTCCGGATCATGAACCAAGTGATGATATTTTACTCCCTAGATATAGAAATATTGATGGAATTATTGATTCGAAAATCGTTAATTTAAATATTGTTTCCATAATCTCAAGATGGGTTGACAAAGTAGATAATGAAAGCAAATTTTCTTATACAAGAGAATTTTACTTACCATATAAATTTAAATTATTATTACGAGGAAGCCAAGATGGATTTACTCCTAGAAAATTTCATTCTTTATATGATAATAGACCGTATACAATCACATTCATTAAAGTAAAAGGAACAAAAGAAATTCTTGGAGGATATAATCCTTTAGTATGGAAATCCGATTATGGATATGGTCATACTAAAAGTAGTTTCATATTTTCTTTTAAGAATAAGGATAACGTTAAAGATTCAATTTTAAGTCATGTAAATGATATAGATCATGCATTACAGTACGGTAATGGGTTAGGTCCCACGTTTGGTGATAGCGATCTTTCATTAGGTAGTTGTTATTTAAATGATAAAGATTATTGGATTAACACTTGTAAGATAAAAATTATGAAAAAAAAATAAGAGAATCGCAAAAAAATTTCTTAATAGAAGATTATGAAGTATTCGAAATATTGAAAAAATAAGATATCTATGGTTTCATATTCCAAAATAAATTATTTTTAAATTGTGTGTAATTTGAGCACTTGATTATTCTTAGTCACAAATTCAATATATGAATTTTTGTTATTATTACTACTTCAACTAAAAGGTATTAAGATATGATTACATTGAATTCAATATTTAAGTATCGCTTAACCATCAATTTTATCTTCTATTTCTAGACTATTTATCATTGGAAGTAGTACGGATGTGTATGTATTTATTAATTGAATAAACTTCTATTAATCGATCTCAAAACCCGTGAAATATTCAAACTTTACGTTGGTTATGATACTACTACTAAAATCCACGACGATAATTACTAAGTTATTTTATTAGGAAAAATCTAATCAAATTATTAGTTCTTTTAAAAGATAGAATCTTTAATTTAAAAATACAATAGTTGAAGACAATTAAATTCAACTATGATATTTGTAAATCATTTAAAAATGTCCGTGCCTCCCTATACTTTTTTTTTTTATTAAATTTAAGGTTCCATTTACAATTTCATTTATTTTTTTCTCTTTCTCCTTTTTTGCATTTTTATTATACTGGGTTGAAACTGAACTGATACAAGGCAGTTTAAAAATTATGAACTGTTCAAACCGACGGTTTAAGCTGGTAAAATAAATATATTTTAAATAAAAGTAATTTATCAATTACATAGTGAATATGTTTATATATTTACTTTGATATATGCTTATAAAAAAATTTTTATTTTTTTCTAGATTTGATCAAATTCAAATCGATTCAAATTGATGCGATCAAATATTTGAGTTCAATTTGATTAGATTTGATTCAATTTGAAAAAATCAAATCAAATTCAAATTGCTTAAATATTTGATTCAATTCGATTTTTAGGAACCCTAAATATGCCATTGGATTTTGGAAGACTATCATGTAACTTTTGGAAATATATTGTTAAATATAAAGCAGAAGAATGGGCAAAGCAAACTGGACAATTTTATATTCAGAATATTTGCTTAAATCCAAATTACCAGAAGGTATAGAATTTACAAATGTTTATTTAAATATATAAAGTTATTATAAATTTTAATTAAGAAAATTATTAGTAATTACACTAAAAAATTCAAAGATATCTTTTATAAAGTAAATTTAGTAACAGGTGAATTTTTACTATTAAATTAATAAAATAACTCCACAGTCTTAGTTTTACTAAGAAAACTTAGTAATAACACTATCACAGCTTCAGTTTTACTAAGAAAACTTAGTAATAACTACTTTCTTAGCTTGGTAACCATTTTATTAGTAAAAATGTTTCTAAAGCTATAAACGTGTTTTTTTACTAGGTTTCTTAGTAAAAAATGCCTCCAGAGTCACAGAGGCATTTTTACTATGCTACTTAGTAAAATAGCATTTCTGAAGCTGTGAATGTGATTTTTATTATGTTACTTAGTCTTCAAAGTTACAGAGGTGATTTTTACTATATTTTCTTAATAAAATAATATTTTCAAAGCTATAGAGGTATTTATTACTATAATTTCTTAGTGAAATAATATTTACAAAGCTGCGAAGAGATTTTTACTATGTTTTTCTTAGTAAAAAGGCATTTCTGAAGCTGCAAGAACATTTTTTACTATAGTTTTTTTAGGAAAAAAGCATTTTCAAAGCTGTAAAGACATTTTTTGCTATGCTTTTTTTAGTAAAAAAGGTATATCTGAAGTTCCAGAGATGCTTTTTACTATATTTTCTTAGTAAAAGCCACTCCTAAAGCTTTTGAGATAGCTTTACTATTGATTCAAATCAAATTAAATATTTGAATACTTGATTTGAATAGATTAAATCAAATATTTAAATATCAAATCAAATTGTAAAACCTTAATAAATACAAATAGTTTGAATTTAGATGACAAGTATAACTATAATGGTCTTAACAATATTATAAAGTCAGTATAGTATGATAATAATTTGAAAATTCATATTGATTTGCAAAATTATATTATACTAATATGTTAAAATATATTGTACTAGTTTTCCTTCTTCCTGAAAAACTGATACAATGTAATTATAAAAAGTATTATACTATATCATACAAGTTTCAATAATATTATAAAACCAGTATGATATAATCATAATTTGGAGGATCGTACTAATATATAAAATTATACCATACTGATCAGCTAAACTATACTATACCAGTTCAATATCATTCAAAGTTAAAACTCTTATATTGAACCATAAAAAATGTATATTAAAATATTGGATTAGTATCATTTAATGAAAGTTTATGAAATAAGCTTATTTATAAAAATTGCAAAAATTTTACATATAATTTTTATTTACTTTAAGATTTATTGTATATTCAAATTTTTTTTATAAATCAACTTAAAATAGGTTTTCAATAATTATATTTATTGAAATTTTCAAAATTTTAACAGTATTAATCACATTGCGTTATCCCTATGAAAAATAGTTGTATAGTTTCATATTAAATTCGTATAAGTGTATACTGAAATCATATAGTTTTTATATAGTTATTTTAATTTTCCATACAAAAATAATTGTACAGAAATTTGATATAGAGAAATTATATAGAAAAAAATTTGAAATTTAAAATATATAAAAATTGTGTTGAAATAGTATTGAAATATTAAACATAGATTTTATATAGTTTAGTATTTTATCGACATATGAAAAATTTAATATTACTAAAAAGTAGGTAAATTAATATTTTACAAAAATTGCAAATAATAATAAACTGAACTTTAAAACCTTTTTTAGCATTAAAAGTAAACTTGTAGAGCAGACAAAAATAATAATAAATTTAAGCTGAAAAATAATCATACAAAACTATATCGATTAATACAGTTGATTTTTCTAATTCAGATGTTATAAGAAAAATGTGCTAAAAATTTAAACATACAAGAATTAGAGATATTTTATGTTTTATTACATTATACAATCCAAAATTGTAGTGTTTTTTTTTGGCACAAAAGATATACAAAAACTGTATAGGATTTTTTTTATAGGGTATAAAACAAATTTTAAATTTTAAAAATTTTGATTTAAATTGCAATTATTAAATTTAAAAGTGTATTATTTTATATTGCTTGGAAAAAAAACTAAAAAATTATGTCTTGTCAAATATTACTATTTTCTATTTTATTACTTCTAATTAATAAAAAATTTAAAAAAATTAGTTAAAAAGTAATATAAAAACTAAATTTAATATTTTAAAAATGAATGATTAAACCTACCTAAACATATTTGGCTGAAATTTATGTTTCAATGTTATTCGAACTTATATAATAGAAACTGAAATGAAACAGTAATAAAAAAATTTTTGAAACGAGTGTCGAGTATCAGCCTGAATTTACTCACCATTCTAAAATACTAAAACTAGCATTTTAAATACCATTTAAACCTAAAAAAATTGTAACGTTAAAGAATAAAGTTTTCAAAATAATTGTTAAATAAATTTATTATATAAAATAAAAAACTGTTTATAAATGTTTATTACAATAAATAAGTAAAAGAAAATTCAATAAACTCAACCTAACTTCTTTCTTTTTTTTTATCTGGCTATTATGTAAAGATTTAACCTAATTAATTTGTGTTAATTTCATATAATTTTACATGTAAGGTCAGGCAAAAAAATTTTAAAATTTCGTCTCAATTTTTACAAAAGTTCATGATTTTTTTTATATATTAAAATTTTTTTTTACGCGACTTTATATAATAAAAATCATAATAGTAAGCATTACTTTATTATAAAATATTTATATAAAAAATAAAAACTGGATGATCATATCAACTTTAAAATTTTATGTCATGAGATCTAAAATTTATTTTGCCCAACCTAAGTTATATTTTAATAGAACAGGTTTAAATGTGTATTATGAATAAAGTAGTTAGTCATTCTTTTCAGTCTGTCTTTAAAAAGTTATAAGAAATGTATCCTTGAAATTTTAAGATGTAGCAAATATGGCTAAAAACCAATAAATATCAAAATTTGACCTTTATACTTCTTTTTTTAAAACTAGCTAGCAGAGACAAAATTGATAAAAGACTGAAAAAATCAAAAAATACTGGTTTTGGTAAAATAAAAACCTATCTAGCTCTAAATTGGATGAATAGATTGAGACTAAACTTTACTACTTTTTGGTCTTTAAACAGTTCTTTTGTATCATAAAAAATTGGGTGTACAGTCTTATTACTTTTCTAAAAATTTCCTAAAGACTGATCAAGACTGATCAAAGATTGCAGAACTGACTGACCATCTCTAATTATAGGTCAATAAAATAGTAACCCAAACCAATTTTTATATTCGAATCATACAGTAATCATTAGTAAAATTTTGAACCATTTCTTTCTTAAATATGTTTTAATACATAAGGACTAAAAAGAACTTAATTTAATTAAAAATCAAATCTTATTTTTAATATTTTCACAGCTAAGTTTTTTGACATTAAAAGATGATTTATTTTTTCTTCTCTATCCTTAATTAAAATCAGGTATAATATTGTATATATATTTAATTTATAATAAAAAAAACCACAAAGAGAGATGATGCTAACAGATTTGGTATAGCAGATCAATTTGTTCTATTTTGGCCGACTTCAAATCAAGTGAAATAATTTCCATTAATCAGAATTAAAATTTTTTAATAAAAAAAAAGAAAAAATCTGCATATGTGAATTTTAACTCACTTATCGCAACTGAAATATTACTAAAAACGTTATTAAAATTTATATTTATATATAAAAAAATCATAGAAACTCGTGTAATAAATTTTTTAAAAATATACATCTTTTTATATTAATAAAAAATATCTAAGGCATTTAATTAGCAAATTAACTCAGAAATTCATAATATGAAATTTGTTCAACATATTTTTTTACTTCATTAATTTAATAATTAGAATAAATTTCAAGAAAGCAATAAATGAAGAATGTAAAACCTTTTTTAATTTAGAATAATTTGTATAAAAAATTGATCGACATGCATGCATTCAAAAATATAGCATAAATAATTTTCATATATATAATATATTTGTTTCGAGCAAGCTATATATTATTTGCTCTGCATTGTATCACTTGCTAAATTTTTAACTATAATTAAAATATATATTAACGAAATATATTTGGTTTAATTTTTTTAAAAGATAAAGTAATAGTTTAATCATAATAAACTATAATATTTATAGAATTTTAAACATATTTGATATCAAAAGAATGGATAAATAGATATTTATTTGAAAATGATATATTAATTATATAAGAATAAACAAACAAGATTCTTAAAATACTTATTTTTCTTGGAAATTGTTATATATAATTCAGGTTAATTTAGATAGTTTATATAATTAAATATATAGTATATGCTTAAACTTCCATTCGTTTACTAATAAAATGAGCTAAAATATTTTAAAACTATGTAACATATTTACATGTTTTTTTTTACAAACCTATTGCGTATTTAAAAATAATTTATTATTTAAACTCAAAAATTTATTGACAATACTAATAAGACTGCAAGTTGTAGCAAAGCTATGAAAACAGAAATTTTTGTATAAAAATACATATATTGATTACAGTAATCCAATTTTAATGCAATCAAAACCTAAAGATGAGTTCAGTGCTGATCAATTCTTATTTTTTATCAAGCATTTCATAAATTTTCTAAATTTTAAATAATAACAAATAATAAATGTAAAGCTAACGAAGTTTAGAATTAATTAATTCTTTAGTATATTTCCATTATATTTCAGCTTGTTTTCTATCTTGAGGTATTGCAGATTTCTTTCCAATTTTACCTATAAATAATCTGTATAAGGAAAGTATAGAGAAATAATACGTTTAAAAAATGTATAATAAATGTAGAAAAATAGTATAATAAATTCGTAAAATTTCCATATACTTAATACTGAAAATTGACTCTTTCTGTATGCAGAAAATACGGAATGTATAAATCTGATCGGTATATTGTATATGTAATTTTACATAGATTTTATACATCTAATCAGTATATTGTATACGTAATTTATATAGATTTTATATATTTAATCAATATATTGTATACGTTATTTTTGATTAATAATTCTATATATTAGATACTAAAAATCGACTTTTTCCATTTGTAAAAGAATATAGAATTTATGTTTAATCAGTATATTGTATACGTATTTTTACATATATTTTTTACATCTAATCAGTATATTGTATGTGTTATTTTTTGTTGAATTTTTTACGTCTAATTAGAATATTGTATATGTTATTTTTGGTTGGATTTTAACATATAAACATTAAATAATATATGTAATTTTGATTGCAATTTTTAAATATTTAATCATTAAATAAATATAATTTTCGAAATTAAAAAAATTTTATTAAAAAATAAAATAAAAATAAAATGTAAATTTCATTTATCCTATATAAATTAATTAATTATAATATTAAATAAGAGTTTTGCAATTTAAAAATTAAAATTTAAAAATAAAATATACAGTGGTGAGCAAAAGAAACACAACCAGAATTGCACATAGTTATAAGCTTATATCTCGTCAACCACGAATGCTAGGAATATGATTTTGCATTTATTTTAAACCTCATAACCTAGAGAATATTCAGTAAAAATTTGAAGTGCGATCATTAAGACCAATTTTGCGCAATTTAGCGATCTACATCACAATTTCTTATTTAATAAAATTTAAGTATAGAAAAATTTTTTCTGTAGGCCGGCTACTCAAAAACCAATGCTGAATTTCGATTCTGCTAAATAACAAAATACTTTATATATCTTTTCTATCACCTTTATTAGAAGGATTATGTCTTGGTTTTTGTAGTTGATCTTAAAATAAATTTTCAAGAACAACATACAAAAATGAACCTCCAACTTTAAAAAATAAAAAAATAAAATAAAAATAAATATCATAAATAATATAATATTTATAATTTATTTCTTCTTTTTAAAATGTTTTGATACGTCATTTTATCCATTTGAAAACTTTCCGAATCTTCTTAATAGAAATATATCATTATATTGGTATTTTAATAAGAGTTGGTAGTATTGTTATTGATGTTAGCATTAGCATTAGTGTTGACATTATTATTAGCGTTAGTTAAGGTTGCTAGACGAAATCAAGAGTTTAGACAGACGTCTAAATGGAAAAAGTAAAACTTGATTAAATTATAATAAAACCTTATTAAAAAATCTGCGAAATTTGGAAAAAAGTAAAACTATATCAAAGCTTATAAAAATGGCGAAACTATATCAAACACTTAGTAAAAATTTAGCGAAACTAAAGGTTTTACTGTTTTGCCAAATCCAAAATGAGTTTAGACAAGCAACCTTAGCATTAGTGTTAGCATTGGCTTTGATATTGCATTTGCTTTTTGTAAAGCTTTGATCTTCTATAAATTATTTTATGAATATTTATTGTTTGATATGTAGAAAAAGACAATTATTATCACAAAAATTACAAATAACATTTGTTGCATGGTAGATAAAATTGCTTCTATTATGAAGAATAATTTGTGTAAAAATAATATGTAATTTAAGATTATAGAAAAAATTGAGGAAAAAAAATTTAAAAAAGATTATACAAAAGACAGCCAAAAGTCTCCAAACCGTAAGTATGACATCGTATATCTCAAGATATACCAATCAGAATTAGTTCAAAATTTCATATAATCTTACTACAATCTCAATATATAATATATAATATATTAAAATTTCATTTAATTTGAATTGGTGAAAGCTGAGATATATATGTACACATAAATGCATAAATATTTTTGATTTTAGATTTTAGTTAAAGTTTTTGAAATATATTTTCTGAATATTTAATAATTCAAATTAAATAAAATTTAAGTATATAATAAATTAATATATTATTTATAAAATATTAAAATTTAAACTGATTTGGATTTCTTATTTTTGAGATAATTAATATACAAGATTATGTTTTAAAACTTAATATGTATTTATTATTATTATAAAATATTACTTGTATCAAATATACATAAATATTTTCAACAACTAATAATTCAAATCATTGATATTTTATAAATAAATTATTGATTTATTATATATTAAAATTTTATTTAATTTGAATCATTAGATATTTAAAAAATATATTTAAAATCTTTTACTAAAATTTACAATTAAAATTATTTATATATTATTATATATCAGCTCAAATTAAATGAAAATTTAATATATTATAATTCAAGATTATGTCATATATATATAAAAATTATAACATTCTAATTAGTGAATCTTGTAATAAATTTTAGTATTCAAAAACTTTTATATAATTAAAATATTTATGAATTTACGTTTACACACTTATCTTAGCTTTCACCGATTCAAATTAAATGAATTTTAATATATTATAGATTGAGATTATATTAAGATTATATGAATTTTGAACTTATTTTGATCGGTGTATCTTGAGATATATGATTTTAAAAATAATGTTCAGAGACTTTTAGCGACCCTCTGTATATATATAAAAAATAAATAAACAAAAATTAACAAAATCTCATGATAAAAAAAAATCTTGTAATATTATTAAAAATTAATAATAATTTTATCAATAATATGATAATCTACATCTAGATTTGACAAAATCTTATGACATGACATGAATTATATTTACAGTATATGCAATGTTAATCAAATTATATTTCTACTACAAAAATCACATATCTCTGTTAAATAAAAAGAGGGAAAGTATAAATAATTTATTGCAATTTTAAAAATTTATTTTATATTAATTTTATCAAAATGTCTTCAGAAAAATTTTTTTATAATAACAATTCTAATAAAAATGTAAAATTATATTTTTCAAATCATGAATATCATCAGTATATTTTACAATATTAGAATCATTTTTTAATGGCACTGTAAAATATGCTACTAAATAATATAAAACAGAATTTAAAATAGCTATAAGTTTATATTATAAAGAAGCTGAAAAAAATTAAGATATATACTTCAAATATTTGAAGAGGTGAGTATAGTAAGTAAATATAATTATTAATTTTATCTTTATTAAATAAAATGATGTTTCACAATATTTTAATTGTTTGAATATATTATAGGTTTATATCATTTCAGTAGGTAGCAGTCTTATAAGACTGCTACCTACTTGCGCTATAATGTTATCTACTTATCACTATACTGCTACCTACTTATCGTTATACTGCTACCTACCTGCGCTATAATGCTACCTGCTTTTGTGTTTTCGATTCTTCGTGATCTTTTTATTTCATTGTAGCTATTCACTTAATTTCATTGTTCTGTGATCTTTTTGTCATCTTATAGCTATCCACTTGATTTTATTGCTCTGTCCTCTTTTTATCAAGGAACTATTTATATGTTTACATTACTCTATATTTCTTTTACTCCTAAAGAGCTATCTATTTGTTTACCTGCTTTTGGGCCTCTTTGACTGCTTGTTAAGATGTCAAGAGTGCTTTCCTTTCACACCTGTTTTGGCAGTCTTTCAAGGTATCTAAGTGGGTTAAAGAAAGGTATCGGGTGGTGCAGTATATTTTCTTATAATGATAATCAGCCATAAAAGTCCGATCTGCTGTAACGATCTTGGAACGCAAATATCTCGACATCTACTAGCCCAATTTGATGAGGATTGAACTACTGGATTTAGTAGGTTCTTATCTATCCAACAAGCCTAAATTCGCATATATCCGATCAGTGGGTGTCGAGATATTATCCTTCAAAGTTTGGGCAAAAAAATATATACTATTAGCCAATTAGATCGCCTGAATGTAACTGCGTGATCATGTGACACCGCGTGGACTTCCGTTGGATGTCATGTGATACTGAGCCTTAAGGCCAGCATTCTATTGCATTGGGTATACATATACTGAGTACATACTAGTGATAGGGTAGCCTTCTCCCATTTTTATATAATATAATTACAGAGAAGACTTCATATTTTAGTTATAGCTGAATGCTTTTCTTCTACAATTTACTTACTAAGTTCATATGGGGGCTTCTTCCATTTTTTTATATAAAAATTACGAAGTTACCCCCTTATGCTTTCAGTTCCTAACACTTCTCTAGCACTTTCTCACAACTTGTTATATGCCATTTTTTTATCTATCCATCGAAAAAATACATTAGAAGGTTAGTAGATCAGTTAGTTAGAGAATTAGAGGTGTCAACTTCGTATCTCTTTTTGGTATACTTCTATATTATGTGAAGGCTATACCATATCGAGTACATACCTAGAAAGTGTAGTCTTCTTCCAATTCTTTATATAAAATTTCTGAAGAAGACTACACAAAATACATATACTGAGTACATATCTAGAAAGTGTAGTCTTCTTCCAATTCTTTATATAAATTTCTGAAGAAGACTACACTTTGATGCAATAATTCATTTGGCCTTCTTTCGTGTTTTACCATCTAAGTTTGTTATTGCTCCTTTTTCGATGAATAAAAAAAAATAATTAAACATTTTCGATTTATATAAAGTTATTTAAATTCTTTCAAACTGACAATATGTAAACCTCAACTATTTTCAACCAAACTGATTGCACTAAATCTGGACCAACGCTCGCCTGCTATGACAGCGCTGAGTCCTATGAATACTTAAGTGACTCTAGCAGTTGTACTGATAATGGATCCAACTTAGGGTCAGATAATTATAATAATTGTGAGTCTAATTATGAGTCAGATAATGAAGAAGCTACCTGCGCTTCAACCAGCATTACCAAGACTCCATTTGTATAAGAGAGATGGGACTCACCTATTAATGTGACATATACTTTAAGGCAGAAAAAGTTCAATGATAATTTTTCTTCCAAGAATTTGATAAGTGAAATCCAAAAAATTGCCTTATCACCATCTAGATATATGTCGAATAATAAAGGATCATTGGAATGTCTTCCAATTTATTCATTTTTCTTTCCGAATGAAAAAGGCTCTAGCTTATATAACGCTTATGACCAAAGTGAGGTAGAGGATAAATTAGTTATCAAAATCGACCAAGATGGTGATCATGCTCCCAAATTTTCTGTTACAAATGACGTCTCAGAAGTATATAGTTTACCTGGGATTCACAAATGTAATAATGGTCAAAAGCCTTTAAGAGCTGTGATTGATATTGATACGTCAAAAGAAGATATGGAAACTGCTAGTGTTAAGGAACAAGAAGTAATTATTCGAATCTGTTGCTCTTTCATAAGAGCTTTGTATCGAATTCTTGACTGTAGTTGGGAAGATATTCTTAAGGGGTTAGTAATTGCCACGTCTTCAGATCCTAGCAAGTGTAGCTACTATATTTTATATGCACTGACTCTCCTTATCGACCATTATAAGCTCAAAGCACTCACCGAATTAGTTTATACCTTAACTGGAGAAAAATTTGGCAAATACATTGATAGAGGATTTCCTGGTCAAAATTTTAACCTTCGTCTTATTGGTTCGGCAAAAAAAGGTCGCGTAAAACACATTCTTCAATTCTCTTTAGATAATGGCTGGAATGAACTTGATCATATTATGGTTCAACCGCCTTCTAGTTTGAAACTTGAAGTAAGACCTCAGATTAAAGATGCCAGCTGAAACTCCCTCAAAATAATTTCATCATATTCCTTACTATGTTTTAATATAGTTTTAGCTAATTTCAGGTTTCAGGGTTTTGTCATACCCCTCACTATGTTTTAATATAGTTTTGGCTATTTATTAATTGCCTTTTTTGAGTTTCGTCCCTCATCTTTATCTTAGATGCTTAGTGAAGAAAAAATAATAATCAATTAAAATAATCGTAGGTCAGGATGTATTACAAAAATATGAGAAACTTGTTTTGCAAAAGCATTCTAACTATCTTAGAGATTGGACTATCGAAGAAAAGGAAGAGACAAAGGAAAACTTCGTATATTTCAACCGGAAAGGTCCACTAGAATACCCACTATGTAAACATATACATAATAAAGATCAGCGGTAGTTTGGTCGTGTATATGCCAGTAGTAGAACATTCATTGTAAAATGCTTTCGGCAAGGAAGTGATGAACCTGGGGAAGTTTTGAATGCGACCCATCTATTGCAGAAAAAATTCAGAAAGAAAATAAAAATATATCTTCGGCGTCTAGCTCAGTATCACATGACATCCAACGGAAATCCACGCGGTGTCACATGATCAAGCAGTTACGTTCAGGCGATCTAATTGGCTAAGAGTATATATTTTTTGCCCGTAATTTGAAGGATAATATCTCGACACCCACTGATCGGATATATGCGAATTTAGGCTTGTTGAATAGATCAGAACCTACTAAATCCAGTAGTTTAATCCTCATCAAATTTGGGCTGGTAGATGTCGAGATATTTGCGTTACAAGATCGTTACAGCAGATCAGATTTTTATGGCTGATTATCATTATAAGAAAATATACTGTACCACCCGATGCTTTTCTTTAACCCACTTCGACACCTTGAAAGACTGTCAAAACAGGTGTGAAAGGAAAGATCTCTTGACATCTTAACAAGCAGTCAAAGAGGCCCAAAAGCAGGTAAACAAATGGATAGCTCTTTAGAAGTAAAAGAAATACAGAGTAATGTAAACACATGAATAGTTCCTTGATAAAAAAAAGAGGACAGAGCAATAAAATCAAGCGGATAGCTACAAGATAACAAAAAGATCACAGAACAATGAAATCAAGTGGATAGCTACAATGAAATAAAAAGATCACGGAGAATCGAAAACACAAAAGCAGGTAGCAGTATAATGATAAGTAGGTAGCAGTATAGTAATAAGTAGATAACATTATAGCGCAAGTAGGTAGCAGTCTTATAAGACTGCTACCTACTATTTCTTATACATATGTTTTTATAACTATTTTTTTAAAAATATTATGTATAAGTATATGCATTGTATCGTTAAATATTTGGCTATTTTGTTATATATAAATATTAGGTTTGATATGAACAATATCTTTGTATATCTCATCATCATCCGTCAGCATACTTACTCATAATATATTAAAATATACTTATAAGTACACAAGTAATATCATTGGATATTTGGCTATTTTGCGATTCATAAATACTATATTGATATTATCAATACTTTTGTGTAACTCATTATCATCTGTTAGCATATTACTTAAAATACTTTAGTAATTCTATTATAATATTTAGTAACTTATACTTTTTATTATATAATTTTTTATTTATATAGGATAAGTATATAAAACTTTATCAAAAAGCTTATAATTATAAAAGAAATAAAGTAAATAATCAAAAATATTTTAATAAGATTATATAATTCTTGGTTTAATTAAAATTTTTTAATTTAACATAATTTATTTAAACAAAAAGAAAATGATAATATTCGATCAAATATGAATAATATAATTTAGAATTGTGTAAGAAAAATTATATATAATTATTTTTAAATACTATTATATTGGAATAATATAATTAAAAATTGTTATAAAAAAAATATTAAATGAAATTATATCATTTATATCTTAGCTTGATCTTACTAAAATTAAATATAATAGTCCAATTAAGGTTTCGCAATTCGATTTAATATTTGAATAATTGATTTGATTCAATCAAATTCAAATCAAGAATGATTTATTTAATCAAATTCAAATTAATGTTTGATTTAATTCAACCAAATTTAAATCTAGTATTCAAATATTTGATTTGATTTGAATCACATTTTCAAAGCTTTAAGAGTATATCTTACTAAGAAAACCATAATAAAAAGCACTTCTGCAGCTTTAGAAGTGTTTTTTACTAAGAAAAATATAGTAAAAAACACTTTCGCATCTTCAGAAACATTTTTTTCTTAAGAAAACTAGTAAAAAAATATATTTACAACTTCAGAAATGTTTTTTTACTAATAAAGTAATTACGAAGCTAAGATAACAGTTCTTATTAAGTTTTCTTAGTAAAACTGAAGCTGCAATAGCAGTTATTATTAAGTTTTCTTAGTAAAACCAAAGCTGAGATAGTGGTTATTACTAAGTTTTCTTAGTAAAACTAAAGCTGCAATAATGGTTATTACTAAGTTTTCTTAGTAAACCAAAGTCACGATAGTAGTTATTACTAAGTTTTTTAGAAACTAAAGCTGCAATAGTGATTATTACTAAGTTTTCTTAGTAAAACTGAGACTGTAGTGTTATTTTAATAAGTTTAATAGTAAAAATTTACCTGTTATTAAACTTTCTTTATAAAAGCTATCTTTAAAATTTTTTTAGTATAATTACTAATAATTTTCTTAATTAAAACTTTATAATAACTTTATTTTAATATATCATTATAAAAATTAAAAAAATTTTTATTTTTGATTTGATTTAATTTTGAGAAACCCTAATTTCAATAGCATATGGAATTTTAGATGTTTGTCAAGAATTAGATTTTTGTTTTAAAAAGCTTTCTGAAAAAACTTTATAAGATCAATGAAATATTAATTTAGAAATACTAAACTTTTTAATGAATTTATTCAAATGTATTATCTATTAGATACTCATATTGATGTAAATATAAGTGATCCAATTACATTTCTCAAATATGTTATAATAGATCTTAAAAATCATAAATCCTTAAAATCAATATTTGATTTATTAGAAGAATTGTGAGTAATTTTGTAAATTATATTATTTTAATTATAAATATTAATATAATTTATTTAATTTATAAAAGAAATTATTAGTGCTTAAGACTATTATTAGATGAAACTGATTATAGTGAAAATGGTTATGTTGATCAAGCAGTTTGTAGATTTCTTGATCAAATATTCAAATATCATGATTAAACCTTTAGACTGTATATTATTTTAAAATTTATCAAATAATATTTTTAAAAAAATGATATTCTTAATAATATATCAAAAAAATAAATTTTTTTAAGTTGCAAAAATGATAAGCAATACTTAAGTAATGGCTTAATATCCACTAGTCAAAATCATTTCATTCAGCATAATTCCATTCAGTTAATATTCAGCCAATTCAGTCATGTGATTCTGTAAAATTCAGCTTAAGTTACAAAAATCAATAGTCATTTGTTACATCACATATAATTTAACATTATTTCAGCATTAGATCTTTTGTTAATATTCGGCAGATTTGATCATGTAATTCAGAAATATTCATCTTAAGTTACAAAAATCGATAGTAATTTGTTACATTATACATAATTTAGCATTATTTCAACATTAAGACCTTTCAGTTATAATATTTAGCAAATTTTAGTTAGACTCAGGATTTGGTAACAAATTGACTATATATAATTGGTAAGCTGATTTTTGCAAAAGTTATAAAAATTATGAGAGGAATCATCTCAAAGAGACGATATAATCATTCCAAAGGAACGATACAATCATTTCCAAAGGAATCATACAATTATTTTCAAAGGAACGATACAATCATCCCCAAAAGAATAATACAATCATCTCTAAAGGAATGATATAATAATTCCCAAAGAAACAATACAATCATTCCCAAAGAGACGATAGAAATCATTTCTAAAGAAATGAAATATTATTTCCAAAGAAATAATGGAAATTGTTCTTAAAGAAACAAAATATTTTTCCCAAAGAGATGATAGAAATCGTCTCAAAAGAAATGATATAATCGTCTCAAAGAGATGATAGAAATCATCTCAAAAGGAACAAAATTCATTTCCAAAAAGTGATAGAAATTATCTCTAAAGGAATAAAATATCATTCTCAAAGAGACGATGGAAATCATTCCCAAAGAAATGATAGAAATCATCTCAAAAGAAACAATATAATCATCCTAAAGAGATGATAGAAATTGTCCTCTAGGAATAATATATTATCATTTTGAAGAATGATTCAATTATCGTTCTGAAAGAACAATTTTTCATCATTTTTAAGAAATGATACATCATCATTTTGAAAAGAATGATTTTTTATCATTCTTAAAGAATGATACATCATTATTCTTTCAGAATGATTTTTTCATCTTTTTTAAGGAATGATTTATCATCGTTCTGAAAGAATAATGATTTTTTATCGTTCTTAAGGAATAATTCATGATCAATCTGAAAGAAAGATGATTTTTTATCATTCTTAAGGAATGATACTTCATCATTCTGAAAGAATATTTTTTATCATTATTAAGGAATGATATTACATCATTTCTTTAGAATGGTATTTTACATCATTCTATTAGAATAATATATAATCATTTCTTTAAAATGATTTTGTTATCATTCTTTCAGAATGATACTTTATCATTCTTTTAAAATGATATTTTACATCATTTGATTAGAACGATACATAATCATTCCTTTAGAATGATTTTTGTTATTGTTCTATTGAAATGATGAATAATCATTTCTTTAGAATGATTTTGTTATTGCTCTTTCAAAATAATAGTTTAATCATTCCTTTAGAATAATATTTTACATTGTTCTATTGAAACAATATATATTTGTTCTATTAGAATAATTTTCTATATTATTCCTAAGAAACGATTAAACTATTGTTTCTTTTGAATGATTTTTATATTGTTCTTGAGGAAATGATCAAATTATCATTCCTTTAGAACAATTTTCTATATAGTTCCTAGGAATGATCAAAATATCGTTGATTTTGCAATCGGATAATGCAAAATCATCCATTTATAGTATTTATGATGAGTAAAAAATAATATTTAAATTTCAAAATTTTAGTTTAGTTTACAATATAAAATTGATAAACTTTCAGAATATTCTAAAAAATTTATTTCTTCTTTTCTTTTTTTCTAATGAGGTGATTTTTAAGCAGAAATTTAATTATTTCTTTTCTTTTTTCTTGTTTTTTTAGGAAATTTTTATTTTAAAATTAAGGTAAGCGAATCAGAAGTGACTTTTATAAAATTTCCTTTCTTTGTTCTTGTTTTTTAGAAAATTCTTATTTTGGGAATTAAGGTAAGCAAGTTGAAAGTAATTTTTAGATGGTTTTTA